TCATCCAGACAGCCACTAATATGCTTTCTTCTAATCCATATGCCAGCATAAAGTATCATGGCAAAATTTGCTCTGTCCTCCTGACAGCTATGCTATAATCTGTCTCAGTGATGAAACCAGTAAGTAATATAATATTTTTATATGTTTGATATGCAATAATGTCAGAAAACTTTATTGGTGAATTTCCTACACATAGGAAAAATAACCATCAGTTGCTTCCCCCTAACATGGAATGGGACTGGGGAGAGGTGACTTTTGACAAAGGATGTAATCCATGGATTTAACTATCTGTCCTAACCTGACCTTCAGGAATAGTTAGGATCTTTCTGTCTTCCTCCTTTACATGAAAGCCCCAATTCACCCTGTCATCCAAGTTCTGCAGCCAATTCACATGGTGGAAAAAGGTTTTCCAGTTCTATAGAAGATGTTATACTAAGGAAGCTTCTATCCACCTCAGAAAGGATCTGCAAATTACCTCTCTTCTTCTTGTGCTCTTTTGCAATTCATCTCATTCTGTTTCTTATGCTCCTCTTAGTCTTAGTCTCTCATGCTTGATTTGTCTTGCATGCTCTCTTGCCCTTTTTTCTCACTCACTCTCTCACTCTGTCTGAAAACAGCTGATGGGGAGCCTGTCTGTAGGCTCCAGCAGATGGACTCCCCTCTCCTGCCATTTTTGTTCACCCTCTCTGCCACTCTATCATGAGCAGAAGTGGCAATTAAAAGCTGCAGTAAAACAAAGTCTGCATTACTCTAGTTTCTAGGCCAGTGATGGCAAACCTTTTAGAGACCGAGTGCCCAAACTGCAACCCCAAACCCACTTATGCATTGTCGGGTGCCGGGTGGGTGTGGCCCATTGGGTGGGCATGGTTGGGTGGTAACGGCAGACTGGGTGGGATTAAAAAGTTCAATCAATCAATTCCAACTTTGCAATATCTTTTTTTTTCCCCACGAGAAGTTGAAATTGACTGATTGATTGAACCTTTTTTTTTTTTTTCACACAGCAGCAGAGGCCTAAAGTGAAAAGGTTTTATAAAACCCAGCTGAAGGCCTAGGACTGGGGCGACGGTGCGCGTGCCCACAGAGAGGGCTCTGAGTGCCACCTCTGGCACCCGTGCCATAGGTTCGCCACCACTGGTATAGGCTCTAAATAGCAAACATAGAGTCACTTAACAAATGAGAAAAGATTAGACTCCTTTTGTCTTTTCTCTTTAAAGGTTAAATTCCCCCGCCCCCTTCAGGGAATTGTCAGGCTGAAATGTATGGCTGTGTATGCAGCACTTGGAAGAGGCCAGTTAGACATTCAGGTAGACCCCACCTTCTACTTTGTCATTACTACAGTGGGTTTTGAAACATCTAAAATTGTGCTTAGAGCAAGGCTTTTGTTGAGTGAAAATGGAGAGCACCACTTTAATGTCATTTTGATTTTGGATTTTTAAGTGTTGGCTCAGTGTGAGAAAACTCTGTCTAGTTCCATAGTTGATACAACACAAAAGAGGGTTGTTGATTTTCTGTCCTGGTGAAATAAATGTCAGGAGGTTTTGAGCCATCAAAATGACTTCTGTTGTGTCCTGGCAAGCTGAGATTTTCATACTGCAATTGCTACAGCAAAGAATCCAGCTTCCACAGTGACCTTTTCCAAAGCTACTTTCCCATGGGAATTTAAGGGCCAGTTATAAATCCAAATCCACATATGGCTGACCTTTTCCCATTTTGGTGTGAAATGTGACCTTCCATTACTGCTTGGGGTTGTGTATATTTTGAGCTCAGTGTGGGGCCAATATTGGCAAGTTGTCATTTACAATGTAATTCTTGTTCGAACAAGAACAGTTTTCTGCCTTTTTCAAGCAAAAAAAGATTATAGCATCATACAAATACAAGTGGCAGTCAAAAGGACTTCTGCCTAAGCTACACAACCATGCAACTTGCAAACTCTGTCAAAGTTAAAAGCATTCCAATGTGTAGCAGAGATTTATTAATGCATGCAGCAGAATTCTACTGGCCATTGGCTATTATCATTGTCATGTATTAATCTGGTTTAGGTTGAATTGATGAGTGATTCACTAGTTGAATTAACTGCTGCTTTCAAAAGCACTTATAACTAATTGTCTTTTGAAAAAGAATTAAATGTGATACAGAATGCTTATTTATGTTTAGTTTTATACATTTCATATTGTGCTTTTAACAGCAACAACACATTTCCAGCTCTATCTTGTGGCACATTAGCAGGCTTGAATTTATATGTGTATGTGTTGATGTGCATTTTTTAAGACAGGTTTTTGCTAAGTGTCAAATAACTGCAAAATGAAGTTATTTCAGATTTATTCTAACTGTACCAGAAAAAAACCACCCTATAATATCAAACGGTTTGCTGCTAGACAGGATACTTTATCTCACTTAGCAAGGACAAAATAAGTTTAAAATTAGCAAATGCTTTACATAGTCTTCTCATTCCCACCCATCCCCATCTGTCACTGTTGCTTCAACAGTTGCTCTTTAAAGTATCCAACTCACAACTAATAACATTTTCTTATAAAAAAATTATTGGACATGTGATTAATGACTTCCAAAGATAAGAAAACATTTTTAATTGTTGCTATATTGAGAGGAAGTATTAACTGAAAATCGGGAAAGGAGTGTGCATTATAAAAATAACTAATTCAACTTGAGATGGTCTGGTTTCCTACAAAATGTATTTCTGTACATTTAAGCCTTCTTGCATCAGCAAAAGCTTTTTTCTGAGTTATGGATTTCTCCATCTACATTCAGACTGTAAAAGCAACAGCTGACAGATTCAAATATAAAAAGAAGTTCAGGTCTGTTTTCATGTTTTCCATAGTTTTCAGTCAGTCTGACTCCAAGTGATTACAAAGGTTAAGTTTCTGTAGTTTTTCTTGGCAACATTTTTGAAGGTGGACTTACTAATGCCTTACTATTGCCTTCTGGGGGGGAGGCAGAGAGAGAGAAAGAGAGAGACCGACTGACTTGCAGTACCCAAGTTGGTTTAGATGTCTAAAGCAAGATTAGAACTCAGATTTCTCTGCTTCTAGTCTAGTGTCCTAATCCAGAGGTCCCCAATCTTTGGGGCACCAGGCACCGGTGGATAGAAGTTTTCCCGTGGACCGGAGGAGGCATGGTTTTATGTGTTGCCTGCATCCCTCCGGATGGGGCTTTGCTTGTTTCTGCGGACCGGTTGCTGGCATGCCACCCCCGGTCTGTGGCAGATTTAACTGAATATCTCTATACTTTAGATTTCTTTAAAACAATCACAAAGACCACAACTATAGCAACTGGGGGAGGGGAAAAAAGCAAAAACAGGAATAGAGCGTTCTCTTTTCTGATCATATTACTGATATAGATTATTTCACCAGCTGCTGTTTACCTAAATAGGGAAAATATATGATGGTTGTATATCTTTTCCCAAATTGTAGATTGCAAGAGAGATGAGGGCAGGTATGTATGTAAAAACAGAGTCAGGGTTAAATTCCTCATCATCAGTGTCCCCGTTCTGATTCAGTTTGGGAACCTCAAGGCTGTTTTTATCTTATAGCATCAAGTGAATTGATGCAAGATAGGAATATACTTAGGCAGCAGTTAAGCACTGTTCATTTGTAGGAAAAACTCTGCTTTGGGATGGTGGTCCTAGGAAGACATTGATGGTCTCATTTCAACGCTCTTAAGTCAATTCTGGGATGAGGTGACTGAACTCTAGTTGTAAGATAACATTCATCCTGGGCCAAAACAAGAAAAAAGCTCCAAAGTTCTTGTTACTCTGAATCCGCTTTATCCCCAGCTAGGGGCATTTGCAAGATATGGTTAAAAAAAGGATCACCACAGTAGTACCACATTAAAAACATAGAGCCCTGATGGCGCTGTGGTTAAAGTACAGTATTGTAGGCAAACTCTGCCCACACCCTGGAGTTCAATCCTGATGGGAATCAAGATTGACTCTGCCTTCCATCCTTCCGAGATTGGTAAAATGAGGATTCAGATTGTTGGGAGGAATATGCAAATAACACTTATAAATCATCCAGAGATTGCTATTGGGCAGTATATAAGAATAAGAATAAAAGCTATTGTATTGCTATTGCCATCTTTGATTGTATTGTCATGGCTGCCATTTTTACTTTTTTTAATCCTCCCCTGTGAATACTCCTTATCAGACTGCTTTTCAGCTGTCAATTCCAATAAACAAGATATTTCTGTTTCTCAGTGGAAACACAAAATATAGCAACAATTTGTTGTACTACAAGACCATGGAGGTGCATACATGAAGTTGAAAGAAATGGAGCTTGCCTAAAACCATTTATCATACTTTAGACAGTGGAACTTAGATGTTTCTTAGATTAAGCTAGACCAGTGATAAAGCTTGATACTATAGCTGTGTTGCTTTCTCTGAGTAGCAATGATTCCATTAATTTTTAGCAAGATAACTTTCTCAAAGCTGCGGTTTTGAACTTATTTTGCTGGTAGTGGGAGGCATTTTGTGCTGAAAGTACTTTTTTATGGGCAATAATGTGGGTGGGACACAACAAATCACGAACAGGAGATTAAACCATGTTCATATAAATTAAGCTAGGAGCAGGATTTAATTTTTAATATTATATCTGCTCTTCTATGAATATGTAACTATATTTGATGCTTATGCTTTATTAGGGTGGAGTGGGGAATACTTAGAAATTTGGCAGTTAAATATTAATTCAATATACAAACACTTGCTGTTGGGAGAAAATGCTCCAATCTCTGAGATGTGACCTTAATTAAAACTTAGTGAGTTCACATATGTGATTTGGTTGCCATTTCCCAGACTTATCTCTGGATTTGATTTTTGGTAAACACAATGTACGTGTCTCCAAAATAGTATTAAAGCGCAGTCTAATATGTTTATTTTGATTCAAAAGGCTTAGAAAAGCATATTTCAAAGAAAAATAATTTAAGATAAAGTTCTTGTTGGAGTTTCCTAATAATAAAATGTACTTCTGTTTGTTTTCCAACTTCTACAGTTACTGGCTAACCAACAAAGTTTACATCAAGCGACCCAGCACAGGACTCCTTATGTATACCCTCGCAACGAGGTTCTGTGATGAAATTCACCTTTACGGATTCTGGCCCTTCCCAAAGGATATAAATGGAAAACCAGTCAAATATCATTATTATGATGACTTAAAGTACAGATACTTTTCAAACGCCAGTCCCCATAGGATGCCATTAGAGTTTAAAACACTGAACATGTTACATAATAGAGGAGCACTTAAATTGACCACAGGGAAATGTATACAGCAATAATGCACGAGTCAAGTATCAAGAGAAATACAGGAAATTCAGATTTTATAGAACCACAGTGGGATCCAAGCAGTGGATATAGCCCAGTGCACTATACCAAGCCATCCAAACATAAGGAAGTACATCAAGTCTCTATTACCAGCTGATGTTTTACCTGTTGAAGTGCTAAATAAATATTGAGTGGATTGGTTCAAGTAAGTGCCACTTTTGCTAAAAAGAAATCTTGAATGTATACAATCAGTAGTGTTTACAAGATCCAACAATGCATTCATCACTTGTTAAAGAAGCAAATTATTTGCTCGCTGCTCATTTGCCTCCGCACAAAGTCAGGCAATGTCCAAAGGAATAACCTGGCATTGAAATGAAGTGAAAGGAATCCGAAGTCAAGGTGGAATTTGGAGAGCAGTGGATCATGTCTCAAAGATCAAACAAGACACCTTGGTCGGAGGAATGCCTAACTTTGTATTATAACCTCTTTCTCTTTTTCTTTCCTGTTTTTCAGATTGTCATGCATTTATCATAGTGTTTGGGTATTGGAACTCTGTAAGGGATTTTAAAAAGACAATAATATGGACTTTCTAACCGAACTTCAAGTAGTGGTCTTAGAAGAATGTCTTAATTCTTTAAAAATCCCTGAAAGTTAAAATGAATATTGTATCATCTTGTTCAGTTTAACCTTGCTTAAAGTCAAAACTGGCTCCACGAGGGCTTGTTGATGCTGTAGTATGCAGAGCCATTCCCCTGGTTTTGCAGGCCACAGAATATACTCTATGCTAGCCTTAACCACCTGAAGGAAGATGTAGTGCTGACAAGAATGGTACTTGACTATAAATCCCTCTTGTACAAATTGAACAGTGGAAAAGTCATCTCAGAGAGGCTGTTTTAAGCAGTATTTAAAAAAACAGTATAATTTGAGTATTAGGGCTTAGAATCTCCCAGTTGCTTTATGTGCCTCCCCGGGTCGCTGTATCAGTGAGATGGGCAGCATAGAAATTGGATAATAAAAAAAAAAAATGTGCTTCTGTTGGAGGGAATGATAAATACACGTTCAAATGAAAAACATTCTTCCCGGTCTGTTCTGTTTTAAAGAAAAGGCAGTTGTGAGATCCTGATCCAGATGGTGGGTTTCATATTGGGGCTCATGCATCTATTCTCAATTATTATTTGCCTCAAACAGCAGCAACAGAAGGAAAGATTTTCAAACCAGAGGCTGGCTTATACCCTAAAATCCGATGGGGAACATGTTCTGGCTCAGGGCTTCATATGGCTTTGTCTTCAAGCTGTCATTTTAAAAACAACTATCTTAAGCATGTTTTTAAAGCACATTCATGATAACAAATCATATGATTAATATTAGGAGCATCCACAGGGTGTGTGTGACAAAGGGTAAGGTTTTGATTATGTGGTTGCAGCCACCATATTGACTTTTTTTGGACTCTGACCACCTCCTGCCAAGGTCTCTAATAGAGGAGAGCTAAATGGAGAAGAAATCCATATAATTTGGCGCTATGTCATAAGTTACTCATCCTGAAAGCATTTCATATTTTGAGCAGTTATTAAAGCAAGATTGTTTCCTTGTATGGCATATGAAAAGAATACTATTAACAAGCAGGTGCCCTTACATTTGGTACCAAAGATTATGCTGATTTTTGTAATTGATAATGTATTTATTTACCTTGTATTGACAAAAACATGTACATTTAGTGTTATCACTGTGTTGCTGTACTGCTGAGGAAACCGTTTGCAATCATCTCTGTTTCCTGTTAACTTAGTAGGTAGATTCTGTTTGAATGACAAATTCCTTAACTTGTCTTGGTTTTTGAATATTTTATTGAATATTGAATATTTTATAAACAGAGCAAAAAGAATTCTTCTCCCTTCTTAATTAGAATGTGCCAGTGACTTTCATTAATCAAAATAGGATAATAGAAGTAATGAAAAGAACATTAATACTTATTTTCAGATTCTGTACTGGCAGTTTTCCCCACTATTTTTAGTTTGTTTACAATATATTCATTAATAGTGCTGGACAATATCCCTGTTTTTCTTGACGTATAGTATCTTGATAAATAGTAAATGAAAAACCTCACTGCTAAGATACTTTGCCTTTCTGCTTTTTAGAAGCTTCCTTTTCTTGTACTATTTTGAAGAATTCTATTGTTGCACTTTGCTCCGAAAGGTTTTCTAAAGAGGAAGATTAAAGGAAGCACTACTGTCGAGCAGGGTTGTACACAGAATAGCTGCAAACCTTAGTATTTGAAGCACATTTAATGACTGGTGTCAAATTGCTACAGGGTGAAGAGAGTACTTAATTCTTAGTCTCCTTATTTATCTCCACTTTCTAAATAAGAGCAAAAGGAGAAAACTTCTGAAAAGCAAACACAGAATACACTTTAATTGGATCTTATGAAATATAAGGAAGAATGGGCTGTGGGTGTCATTTTCTCACCAAAGGAAAAATCTTGAGCTTCTTTCCAGGTCTTAAAGTTCTATTATCACACTTTTCCTTTCTGCTTACATACTTGTGTATGCATTAATTAATTAATTTTGGCTTAAAACTTAACTTATTAAGATCAGCTATTCATCTCTTCCACTTACTAATGAATTGCCAATACATCACTGTCACTTCAGAAGACTCCAAGAAAAACTTTGGTAGATCATACTAATATTCTGTCTAACCCTGTTTTCCATAATGTCTTTGGGAAACTCACAGACATTTGTTCTCACCTATAATTCTTCTTTTTGATTAAGACAAGGATGAAGTTATTTGAGCTTGGTAAAGTGGATGGGAAATGGTAAACAATTCACAACAACATGTTATACAGTTGTTAGGTATTACTGAACTTGATTCGCAAGCTTGTGAGAAATGTATACATGCCAATGCTAAGAATTTAGCTGCTGCTTCTGTTTTCACTAGAAAAAGTATTTGATTCCTGCAGTATTATTTTAACTGGTAGCTATTTTCTTTTTCTTGTTCTAAAAAAAAAAAAGAACAAAATAAATTTGTTGTAGTCTACTCAACCAGCACAAACTTTTGTTTCGATGAGGCATTGAAGCTAGCAAATTATACTCTTTCTTGTTCACTCAGTAAATAAGATTGATCTTAACAAAAGAAGTTTAATTTGTATTTATAGTTATTTACAAGCTCACTTGTTTGCAATACAGTAAGAAAATAAATACATTAAAATACATTCAACAACAAGAATTCATTGTTGTAGGATTTTTTTTTTTTAGTTCATAAAAATGCAAAAAGGTACGTCTGCAGGCTGCAGTACTAACTTTATTAAGAATGATGCCTGCATTTTTTAAAATGCATTTTTTGGACAGAATAGACTATACACTTTAAAACCTACAGGCAAGATGTTAAGTGGTGCCTTTATAATCAACTTACTTTATCTTGAATCTTAATATTCATCTATCACTGGTTTATATTATTCTTTCCTTGTACAGACTATTTCAATATGTCCATTATAAAGAAAGGGCTAAAATACAGATTAAAATCCCTTTTATGTTTTTCATCTCTCAGGAAAATTTAAATTTTCCAAATCAAAAAAGAAGAAAGTTAGAATTCCAAAAAAAAGATTAATATATATTACTATATTACATGTTTAAAAAATCAACTTTTTCATTATAAGACATTAAAATCCTCATTGAAGACAGTAAACATGGATAGATTTGGACTATAAAAGAACAAAACCGAATAAAAGCTTCTAAATAAAAACAATAATTAAAAGTGATTGAAAGCATCAGAAGGTTTTTCAAGAACACAGTACCTTCAGAGCCTATATTCATTTCATCTAATATGTTTGCAATTATTTAAAAATAAATTATCTCTTCTTTATGTCAGCTTGCTCACCTTCCTCTCATTTTATGTACAATAAATTCAGCTCATAGAACAGCCTTGCCTTGATTGTCAGATTCTACTACTCTTCAGGAAAGCCTGCCTGATGTCTTTGTCCTGGGTTTTGTTTTTTATATGAATTGAAATAAAACTTGCCTTGAAATTTCTATTCTTTCTTTAAATGCAACTCCTACTGCAAGTTTTTCCTTTACGCAGGCCTACATTGTAAATTCATAGCTTTTGAGAAGAACCACCACTTAAAATCTAGGGTTGGAGATGCAATGCCTGCAGGCACCATAAAATATAGTGCTTCGCAAGTCATCGAATTTTAGGACTCTAAAATTAAAGACTTCTATTGTAATAAAACAATAAAAAAGACTGTCAAGTTCATGGGGTATTGATTTTGCTAAATGGGACAATCTCCTGCGATTTTAGTAATTTTTAATTGAGAAAATGTGGCTAGAGCTCTGGGAGAAGAAAAGGTAATCAGAAATAGGGGGTTGGACTAGAACAGGGGTGTCAAACACCCGGCCCACAGGCCAGATGCGTCATGCCAAAATCGCACCCACCCCATTGCCGGCAATGGGAAAAAAGTCACGATACGTTGCGACATGTTACATGACGTTGCACGTTTGACACCCATCGACTAGAAGACCTCCAAGGTCCCTTCCAACTCTGTTATTCTATTCTATTTTATTCTAAATATAGAGAAAGATTTTGGCCATGCATTGAAATAATAGGTGATACCTTTTCAGATCCTCGTAAAGAATAAATTAAAGTTTCTCTTCATTTTTGCTCTTTTCCTTACCATGTTTTACTGCCAGGATTCTGGATGAATAGACCAATATTTTCCCATTATTATTGCCCAGCACTATCTCCAACAAATATTCAGTGCCAAAATTAGATCACTTGATAAAAAATCTATGAAGAAATCTTAAACTATGAAATTAGAAAGGGAATTTGTGTTCATTCAAGAATGTTTTTCCTATGAATGTAAATCATAAATCAATGTTTAAATTGGGGATTATATTAGGAACTCTATAGTTTCTGAGATTAGTGATGATAAATGTACAGTGAAATCTCATTTAAGTGGACTAACAGGAATTGGGAGTTATTAAGAAATATCCAGTAGGTTAGAGATTTCTCATAGACTATTATGTAAATGATGAAAAGTATACTATTTGTGTCAATTTATATTATTTGCATAATGATTACCATTATGCAAATGAAGTTACTGTGAAAAGTTGCTCCATTCCATGTAAAATCTATTTCATCAAGATCCAGTTAATTAAGGCTTTTCTGTTCTTGCTTCCCCCCTCCCACCCCGGAATATTCTCCCTCTTTTATTCTGTTAACTAAAAGGTAAAATCTTTTCAACATTTCCTTTAGTTTGTTGTGTATCTGATATATCTCTATTTTATATCATCCAGAAAATAGATTCACAAAATTAAAGACAATTAATTGAATCTATATTAAGTCATGCTTACTTGAAATTGATGCATTAAAAGCAATAGAAAGTAGGATAAGTTTGATTCG